AAGGGAGGAGACGAGATTGGGTTGCATTGTGGCCACACCCCAGGGGTGCTTTCCCCCTCTCCAGCCCTCTGGTGAACACATATCCCTCTGGCAATCAAAGCTCATGGGGCTATCTGGTCTCTCCACCCCAGGGCCTTCTGGCTGCTGTAGTCTGGAATGGAGTGGGGCCCTCACAATGAAGGGGACACCAGGCTCCACTCCCTTACTCACTTATCTTCCTTCGTCACCCCGGAGGGCCCTGAGCATAGACCCGTGGCCCACTCTAGCTGCTGGAAAACCTGTCTTCCAGAATGAGTGGATGGGCCTGGGGAGGCAGCTTGAGGTCTTCCTGTTGAGGCTCTGTACTCCTCTTTTTAACTTTGGGCCAAGGCTCGTCACCCCAGCCAGGCGGAGGAGTCTCTAAGAACCCTGGCCCAGCCAGGGTGGTGGTGACACTTACTGGGTGTTTTCCAACTGCAGGCACCATGGTAGTCAGGAGCCCAGGGTTGTGACCCAGAAAACCCAGAGTGACCTTGGCCGGGCCCTGACAGCCGTGGGCCTGTGGGCCACAGCTCCTCCTTCTGGGCTTCGTACCAGCTGACGCGTACTGAACAGCGAGTAGCGGTACCATGGTGAAATCCGGCCACCGAGCACTCGGCCTTCGGAAACGGTGCTGAGACGTGGTCCCATGGGAATGAGGTTGTCGTTAAAGCCACCTTTTCCCCGCTAATTCCAGGACAGCAGGAAGACCAGGCCGAGAGGCAGAGGGTGCCGTCGCCGACGGAAGCCTGCGTCGAAGGAGGTGAAGATGGTGGCTCATCGTCCCTTCAGGGGGAGTGGGACATTTCGAGGGGGTCGGCTGGCCTGAGGCAGTGGCCTGCCAGGGCCCATGGGGCGCCACCCCCACAGGTGATAGTGCCCATTGGTTGATTGTCTCTGGGGCAAGACCAACTTGAAGCTGTGACCGCCACTCTGGTCATACCCCTGGCCCCGGCTGGCCCTGCATCCCACATGGCTCTGGACGGGGATGTCCCTCCTGGATCCACGGGCCATGGACACTCCTTAGAGCCCCCAGTGGTCTACGTAGGCCCATTGTTGGCCTCTCCTGCACCAGCCTGCTCTTTGCCCCAGAGAACCCTTCTTTCCAGCGGCTGGTTCTGGACAGAGGGGAATGCCAACAGCCAGCTCCCCAGGCTTCCTGATTCATTTTATTATCTCTTAAACTGCTTGTCTTTCTCTATGAGAGATCCTGAGGGTCTCCCACAGCCACGCTGGGTTTGTCATTCTATCCACCAGAAATCGTCACTAACGACTGGCCTGCAGTCTGTGATGGGGCGGAGACTTACACTCATAGTAATAGCCCGGAGGTGGCTTAGGTTCCTGCCAGGGCCAGTCGAGGGGAGTGCGAACCATGCCCAGTATACAGGAGACTTTCCGAATTGTGGCAGATCTCTGCCAGAGTCCAGAGACGGATCTGTCAGCATCTGTAATAAAATGGGGTGGGGGGCTGAGGCAGCAGAGAGCGATCCCAGGAGTCTGTGAGTCAGACCCCAGCTGGTCCCCACTTTGCCTCCTAGTTCTTTTCCTCTTTATCCCCTCCTCACCCCAAACCCAAACCCTCTCAGCACGGGCTGTGATTGCAGCTGTTCCTCCACCGCATCATTTACTCACTCACTCACGCATTCATTTGGCGGGTCGCTGAGCACCTGCTACGTGCTGAGCGCTGTCCTGGCTATCGGGGACACGGCAAGGGACAAGCAAAGGAACCCAAGGCACCTTTTATGGAGTGCAATAGTGGGGGAGCCACAGCAAACGAACACACACAGCACAGTGAAATGTGCAAAGAGCAGGAAGCATGGTGAGGACAAGAGTGGGGTACTGCGATCTGAGGGGGGCTCAGAGGCGGGCCCACTGGGCAGGGGCATTGCACAGGGCTCTGAAGGAAGTGAGGGGGGGTGAGCCACAGGGATGAGCAAGGCAGATTCCAGGCAGTGGAAAGTAAGCGCAAAGTCCCGGGGTGTGTTCAGGGGACAGCCGGCAAGGGAGCCCTGTGCAGGAAGAGCATGTAGCTGTGGCCGGGACCGTTGTTACTGTTTCGCCACGTGTTTAAGAGATGAGTTTGGTGGCTCAGGTGTCCCCTGGGGTCTGAGTGGTTGTTTCAGGATTTTTTGATTCATGTAAAGCTCTGGTAAGAAGCTTTGCTTGGGAAGAAAAAATCTTTTATTAAGCCACGGTCCCTGCAAGATTCGAGTTAGTGATTTCCAGGTTCCCCTTGTCAGAGCAGAAGCTGCCACCATCCTTGGCTCGTGCTAATCAAAGCTCGGAGCAGCCCGCAGACGGCTCCCAACAGCTGCGCCTGCCGGCGTTATGCTTTTCACACCTTCTAGGCCGGATGGCAGGCTCTGAAATTGCCAAGAAGTGCTGGTGAGAGCCAGGACAGACTGGAGACGCTGCAGGAGGGACCCACCCTCAGCACCAGAGAGCAGCTCTCACACGTGCCTATTTTTCTTTTGCCCCCTTTCCCCAAGGACAGGTTGAAGTCGAAGACAGACAAGGCGAGTGGGCCTTAGATTGCCAGCCTCCAGAGCTTGCCCCGAGTGGACCTCGCCCATGCTGCCTGCCTGCCCTGCTGTCTCTTCCTGCAAGCACTCCCCAGGAGGCGGCTGCAGCACCCGTCCCTGGAGGCCGCAGCTCCCTCACACACGTTCACATTTCCACCTCTTCAAGGACAAGGAGCAAATGTGGCTGGAGCAGAAAGCTCACCCAAAAAGCCCCCTCTTAGTAGCACGCCCCAACTCCAAGAATGCCCCAATCCAAGTGACCCCTGTTTCCCTAATGGGTAAAATGATCCCAGATGTGCCCAGGGACTGGCGCCCAGCTCCGGTTTCATGCAGGAAATTGTTTCTGGAGAGGCATGGCGAGTTGGAAAGCCGGTTGCTGGCTTTTGACATAACCTCTCCTGGAGGACAAGTGGACTCCATGCTAACTCTCGGCGAATGTAAACACACGTCCGCCCCTGACAGGCAGGGCGCTCCTGGCTAGGTGACACTGCTGTGAGTGGGTGAGGCCTCCGGCGGCAACTGGACAGGAGTCTAGCAGCCAGAGACTTCTAGGATTTAGACAGGAATTGCCAGCTGCGCTTAGTACCCACCAAAAGAACGTGTCAGGAAAAGAAGAAGGAAAAGAAAAGAGAAACGTTGGCGTGGGTGGCAGGAGAGTAGCACGGGTACCTGCCAGCTTCTCACTCCCAGGCATGCACACGGGCTGGTTCCTATTCAGCTGGCCGGCCTTTCGAGTCCTTTGCAGACACCGGGGGGCAATGCCCAGCAGAGTGAGTCCCAGGCCTTGTTTCCAGGAAGCCGATGGCCGAGACTGTCCCAGTTCAAGGCTGTTAGGTCGAATATTTGCTTTTGGGAATAAATGTGGGTCTTTAGGAACTGGCCTCAAAATAAGCTACAAACACAAACTCTGTAAATGATGTAAATTCCTATTTATCAGTATAATTGGCACCAAATGGGATCGAAACACCTGACAGTTCAAAATCTCTTTCAGCTGCGTTCTCCCCACCACGCTGTGCTTACTTAGACCCCTGGAGGCCGTGAGGGTAAGTCGTCTGGGGGACGGGGGGCTGCCCACTGGGCGACCCAGCCTGCCACAGGGAGGTGAGACACGGAGTGTTGACTTGATGCTTGGTCAAGTGTCAAACCCTCTGTAAGTAGTCGTAAGTTATTGCAGGTGTAAAAGTGACTATCTGTCATGAGGAAGTGAAAGTGGCTGATTCGCTGGCAGGATTTTGTACGGCTTAGAAAGGGGATTATTTATTGTGAAACCGTTCTCTACTTCAGCTCCTTTCTGTGGATCTGTTAATAAACGTAAAGTCACCGCATATATATATATAGATGTTAAAGTCGTGTTCTGAATCCAAATGCCTAGTCCTTAGAGCTTGAATTACAGTTTTAAAGCGCGCATGCACTGTTTGGCGCCATGGCGAGATGGTATCTCGGAGAGAAATCCGTTCATTGTGCAAACACTCAGAAAACACTAACTGTCAAATGCATAATAAAAAAGTCTCAAAGTTGCTGATTTGTGGGTTCTTGCCTCGCCGTTGCTCTGTGAGTGGTTACACATCAGCCTTTTATGGACCACTGGAGAGAACGGAGTGAGTTACTATCCGGGAAGCAGACTCTATCTCAAATCAATTATGGAGTGAGATGGGCGGCTGCGTGAATATTGAGGAAGGAGTGGGCTTGGGGGCCATTCGAAGATAAAACATTCCAGGCAGCCACGAAGAGACCTCGGGGGAGAATCGGCTGCCTCCCTGCCCCGTGCGCTGCTGTGCGGGAGGGTGCCTTTTCTCCTTGTCCTGGAGACAGGTACAGCGGGCCGGAGGGGGAGAGCACGTGAGGTGTTGCGTGAGTCCCCAGACTTCGCAGCCAGAGCGCCCGCCATTGCACCGTCTCTAAGACTCAGACGTCTCTGGGGTGGCTATTAGGGAGGAGTAGGGTTTCCCTCATTTTCTTTGTCTCTCCCTGCTCTGTGGCCTTTCACATCAAGAACTGGAAACTCTCAGAGGCAGGGGCAGGACAGAGGCAGAGACCAGCCAGCTGAAGGGCGAAGAGGAACCCTGCATTCCGAGTAGGTGTGATCATATCTAATCTGAGGAAACCCACGGCCTCTTACTTTAATTAAACTAATTTTGGAGAGTTTTGACTTTGATGGACTGAGAGCATCAGGTTCTAATTTATTCTGCAGACTGTGCAGTAGCACACAGCAGGAGCCACGGGCGCTCACGGGAGGTACACATGGGGCCTGGATCTACAAGCCCTATGAGACACACCGGCCCAGAGCTAGGGACAGAAGGAGACCCTGGGTCTGTGAGCAACCTGGTGGGGATGGGGGCACAGAGGCCAATTCACGGAGCTGTGAGCAGGCCAGGGAGGTGGGACAGAGGACAGTCCATGGAACTGTGAGCAAGACCATGACTCCAAAGGGTTAAGATTTCAAGATGGCGACAGCAGAGTGTTCAACCCAACAAGGCCTCTGTGACTTTGGGTTCCTTCTCCTACCCAGTGGCCGGCCCGTGGAGCCTAACAGAAAGGCTGAGTCTGAAGACCTGGCTTGGCCGCCAGTTCCCTACAGGACCAGCCTCTAAGACTCAGCCTCAGTTTACCATTTATAAAGTAGGTATGGTACTGCCTTGGGCTGCATCATAGCTTTACTGAGAGGTCAGGTCCTCGTGGCTTCAAATTTCGCCTGAGCTAGTCATCGGCTCCTTCTGTAATCACAAATCTCCATGGAAGCACATCGCTGAATTTAGAATGCACCTCAGAGTAATGGGATCTGATGCATAGAAATTGTCAGGATAATTTTCCCCCTGGAAGACATATGTTCTTCAAATCCCTGAATTCTTATACGTGACTTCTCAGCTCTCAGAGCTTAAGCAGATCAAGTTGCCTATTACTCAGACCATTAGGAACCCACCTGGGTCCTTGCAACGCTGCATGTACAACTGCATGGCGGAAGCTGCAGTGCAGCCATTCAGCACCAGGGGAGGAAGCTGGGTCCCACGTAGCTGGGCAGGGTTCCAGCCATGCCCTGTTGGCTTGAGGACACATGCCGGGCGTGTGTGTGCCCAGGGTCCCAGTGGGATAGGGAGCTGGAGGAAAGAGGATTGCAGCATGACCAGTCCCCCTTGTGGGCTGCTTTTCCTATGTGTGTGTGTGTGTGTGTGTTTGAGGGTATTTGTGCACAACTGCGGGTGTTACAAAAACTGCAGGGTTTTTTTTGTTTGTTTTGCTGGCCAGAATACTCAGATTGTTGAGATCTGGGTGACATTTAGTGCGAGGTCGCTGTAAGAATTAGCAACTATCATGGGTCAGAAGGAATGAACACGACCACCCTTCCCTAGGCAGGTCTCATTAATCTCACCAGCATTCCGGACCACGTGGTAAGTATATGACAGGAGATGAGTGACAAACGGAAGAGGCAGAGGTGTTAGGAACTCGTGGCAGAGAAGACCCTGGGAGACAGAGAAAGGTATCCAGTGGATGGGAGCCCTCCACCTTCCTTGC